CTTAATGATTCTATGATTCTATGACTATAACACATGGGCATTACCGAGATCAAGAAAGCCCCCAGCATCTTCTGTCATTGAAGCAATTTCTTCTTTCCTCGAGTGATTGGGAACAGTAGAGACTCACTCCTCCACGCAGCCCGAGCTGGGGCTGGGACCCATCACCCAACAGTGCCCCACCGCAGCTCCTGCCCCAACCCCAGCGGCTGAACCAGGCTCAGACCCAAGGATGGTTTTACTCCTAAACACAGATCAGCGTCCGTGGGAGACGTCACTGTCTATTTCTGGTTTTGCCCGAAGAACCAAGCTGAGCCTTTTTCTTCTGGCATCTAACCACACAGAGTAAGGTTCAAATTATTCCCTTGGGCACAGCTGTACAAACCAGCTCTATCTAGGAGACTTCTGGAGCAAACCCGTGGATTTCAGTGGATTTGCACAGCTGCGGCCAGTGGATAGGAGCACAGAAAACCATGACACTCATGAGACAAGAGATGCAATAGCTCCCATCAAATCCGCTCTTTTACTGTCTCAGCAATGCTGATGGCAGCACCAGCATATACTGGAAGGGCTTGAACCAATAATGTGCTGCACGTCTTCCACTGCCACTAATTCAGACCTGAAGGCATTCAGCACACCATAGAGTTAGGCCAGAGGTTATGATAAAAAAGAGGAAGGACTCATTTGCTTCATGAAGTACCATCATTTTTTACTTTGTTAATCTGAAGACTAGAACAGCATATCAGTCAGTATGTTCGAACTTGGTGGGGGATTTTTCAGGGAAACATTTTTTCTTGCAGAACACGTAACTCATCAGACCGAGAACTTTGCACAGGGAAGTTCTGACCAAGACCTAAATTCCTTTTTTTTTAAACTGTGGAAACATTTAAGTTTAAAATATTTTAAAAAGCAATTTTCTGTTTCCAGTTTGAAACACTTTGTTAAAAACAGTTAATAAAACATTGGAACTGTTGAAACAGTTTCAGTCAATCTAATTCAAATCTTTTTCTGCCTTTTATCCTGCTTCTTCAGTGCTCAGTCATGAAAAGTTGAGTGTTTTACTTTTATTGTAATTCAGAACAAAGTAAAAACAAAAGTGCAGAAATTGCCTATTACTATTATAGCCCTCCACTATGGTGCTTTGATAGAATGTTAGTTTCAAAGGCAATCCTCTACCAACTACTGCCGAGCAAAGTTGTATTCCCCTGTACGAGCTCAATACAGAGACACAGGGGCTTTGCATTCGTTTTCTTTCTGTTAATCAGTTGTTCCCCAGGGCTCTTTTAATCTGTAGTGACAGCCTCAGTCCTGCCGAGAATGCCTTTTCTGCTACTAAAACAAAGGCACGTCTCTAAATACTTTATAATTTCAAGCAGAAGAAAATCTTATTCTCCTGGTTGAAGAAAGCAATAACAAAAGACTCATGTCTTAGCAGGCTGATGTGAATCATGGCCATCTTCTGCTTTCATTTTTGCTCTCTCGGGACTTCAACTGAAAGACAGACTTAATCTAGCCGGCCTGGGAAGAAGGAGCCATGCCACAGCCATGCCCTTGCAAAGGCTGATCGACAAGAAGCGCCCCTGAAGGAATGCCTTAGACAGACTCTCAGCTGTTTGTAAAGTATTGCACTTCAGCCCCGGTGGAGGGGACAGACATACTTAATATAGAAGGCATTAACGAAGGATTTACTCAGCCAGGAGCACACAATGCAGCATTTTAAACCTCATGTTTACACAAACTAGTCAAAGACTTGCCAGAGCACAAGACAACAACTAAAATCAGACTTCACTGCATTGAAAGAAAACCATAGCTCCACGCATGTCTTTTTGGGCGGTACGTTTTCACACTGCACTAATTGCCTCCGTTTGTATTAAGTTAATTTCCAAATTGGACAGAACTTTTTAATTTTTTTTAATTGCAACATTAAGAAAAACAGCTCTTCGACTCTACATTTTGAAAAACAGACCAAGCACTGTATCGCCCATTCAGACAAAGTAAGTTAATTTATCACTTAAATGCATTTTCACTTCATTCTAAAACCATCTGATTTGCTTTAAGAAGTTTAATGAGTTGGTTTACTACTGCTGTAATACAGGGAGATTTCATTAAAGGAACTGCCATCTTCTATCAGCATCATTATGATTACATCCCGCCCTTGTTTTATTTTAATTTATAGCAATTTTTTGCAACTTGCCAACATGGATTCTTAGTAATTTAACAGAAGTACAAGACTGGCATGGAAAGCAAGCCAGTCGCTTTCATTTCCCCCGTGCTCCACATTTCATTCGCACCCCAGTTTCACAGCCTTCAGTACTCCAGACCTGGAGATTTTCCTGACGTGTAGGATGAGGTCTTCCCAACTGGGGACTTTTTGCTTTCTTATTGATCTTCTTCATTAACTTCAGCAGTGGCAAAATGTTGCAAAAAGAAAGGTTATCTCCACAGGCAACAGTTCACAAATTGCCTCAAACCTCAACATCCTAAATTTGTTTGCAAACTAATAGGCAAAATGTGCCTCACAACACGTGTATTACTTGCTCCGCAACGCACGAGCTGTTGCTCTAACACTGGTTTCTAGCTTGGTTTTTAGGAACAAGCAGCCGGTAGCAGCAATGGGACAGATTATGGTGGCAACAAATGTTTCTAAGGGAAACCACTGCAATACCCAGGTAGATGCAGGTTAAAAAAAAAAAAGTGCCTTTAGTAGATACTACTGCCTATAAATGTCAAAGAGCATTGGAGGGTGTAGCAAGACCCTCAGCTGCAGGCTCTAGTAACACGCACCAGGCAAACACCCAGACTTGAAGGAGCAGCTGTAATCCCCAACAGACTTTCAGGTTGCTTCATCACATCACCCAGATCAGCTCCACGTTATCCAGAGCTTGACTGTGCCGCTGGCTTCCGCATTGCTGCCTGTATCCGCACGATGCAAATCAGCCGGGTGTTGGCGATATAAAGCCCCACACCTCTGTGCCGCCACAGCTGCATGGAGTCTGCAGGGCAGAGGCAAGGGGGAATATCTGTCCCAGGGACCCCCTGGGACAGAGAATCAACACCTGGAAATGAACAAGTGGTGGCTCTCAGCTAACAACAAAGCCACTAAAAAGCAATTATAGCTGTCCCCCCAGCTGTTTATACTGACAGTCTGATCAATGGTCTCAGCAGTGTGAAAAACATACATGTTTACTGATAAGGAGAAGAGTTAGGAACCGTCCAGGTACCAGCTCTCTACACCCAGCCAGTAAGGGCCAGGAACCAGGTTTTAGCACATGGTGTGCGACGGAAAGGGACAGGGTGGAGGGAGGCATCACTTCTTAAAAAAACAACCGTAGCAGGTGTTTAGCACCAAATGAGATCAGAAGGGCCTTGGAGATCAATCAGGGATAAGGAGATTAGCTCCTTGGTTTCACACAGACCAGTGTCATGGGAAGTTTACACTACAGGTGAAAAAGAATGGTGGAAATTGTGGCAGATTTTTCCCTATCAGAAAAACATCAGCTGGGCAATCAGAAAGCTCTCCTGAGCAGCCAGAGCAATCTGTCTGAAGTACTCCTCCTCCAAAAGTAGAATGTCAAAGACAACTTGCAACTGCAGTACTTTTACTTCTTTTTTTTTGAATGATAAAAAAGTTCCACTTAAAAGGAAGGAGAAGTCAGTGAATCTTCAGCCGAGACTCTTCTGTAGTTCAGCACCAGCTCTAAACAGGGATCTCTGCCATCTCATAATGACAGAGTTTTATCCTGTATATTTTTCACCTTTTGCTTCCTGCCCTTGTGTAATTGCCTGTCTCACGTTAGAAGTGGGCCATCCATCCTACTGAACACATTTGGGCCACTATTTTCAATGCAGTTTTACATACGCTATCCATACTATCAATATTCCAGTCATTTCCTGCTCATATTCAGCTGAAATGACTCTGCTCCCATAACCACGTGAAGCATCAAATGAGAAAACTACCTACTGAGCTAATTTTTTCGGTAAAGTTTCATTTTTATTCTCTAAGAGGTCTGGAATCACTAATGCACATTAACTCATTGCCTACAGAAACATTTTTTTTTTTCGAAAAAATGAAATGTCCTCTACAGTTAACTATATGGTAATTCATGTAGTGAATTGAATGATCAGACACTCTTGATTTACAGAAGTACTTCGCTGTATGCTTTAGCAATTCTGCAGTTTACAGTGATTTATATTTACAAAAGCTCTTTAGGATTCAAGGGCTTTTAGAATGGCAGGGTCATAGAGTAAGAAGAATTTTCCTTTGTTTGGTAAATCTGTACAGTCTTACTTTATATTGTTAACAAGAAATGTCATTGTATTTATCATCAGCAAATCTTCTAAAGTCTGCAAAGTATCAAGTAGCTGCACGGCTAATTTATAAAACTCATTACTATTTTAAATTGTTACTACCCATAATGGAGAGAATTGACTTTGACACCTAATTTCCCTCTGCCCATACTTGGGTAAGACTCCAATTGACCAAACAGACCTTTTATTTTTCAGTAGTGTTTATTATTTGCATTGCAATAGTGCACAGGAACTTGAGCCTTTGACCAGGTCAAGTCAACAGCGATGCTGTACAAACACGGAGTAAGAGACCGTTCCCTGCCCTGAAGAGCTTACAGTCTAGAAAGCTGCCCCATCTTCACAACAAGGACTTTTTTCCGCACAAGAAAACATATGAAATGGAACAAAACCACAACAGACAAAGACATTCATTTTTAAGCCTGTGAAGAAGAATTTGCAAATACTGGAGCAAGGACCCAACAGTAAATTACCAGTGTGTTTTAAAAGTGCACTATATATAATAGTCCCAGTAGTAAAGCTCCTGTCTCTCCTTCGCTTAAGTGCTGAATTACTGATTAACATGCAAACGAAGAGGATGAGGGAAGTAGAAACCCCATTTTAATTCACAGGTTTTTCTCCTTGCTGTCCCTTTTTTTCCCAGAATAACCAGATCCCTTATTTCTTCAGAGAATAAATCGGCATAAGTTCAAGAGAGAAATGCGTACAACAAAGGCCAGTCAACTTATTCAACGTTTATAAAAATCTAGAGCTCTCCTTGAATATTATCATGGGATGTAGATTATTTTACAACCTGATACTCCATTTTGTAACTCCTAACAAACCCCAATCTGCCTAAGAACCAACCCTTGCTATTGCAAAAGTCTGCAGTCCACAACACATACACAACAAAAATATTTTTAGAACATCTACTGAAAAATCACAAGTATTTTAGTTCAAAATGAGCCTCTCTTAGACTTTCCATTAAAATACATCTTTAAAATAACTTTGTAAGTTTATAAATAGACCACAAACTAAAACATTTAGGAGCCAAGAAATACCAAAGCTAAGAACTATCTGAAGAATTCCAGCACTGCCTTTCTGGGAACAACATGAATCTACCTACTTACAGACAACTTATTTTGTCTAATTTTGTATACACACACACACATATATATATATGCGTATGTATTCATAGAGTCTGTCATTCCATGAACATAATAGGAAAGAGGCAAATATTAAGATAAAGGCGGATTAACATGATAATTTATCAAAAAGTGTGAGTGGACTAGACTTGGCTGAAAAGCAAGGGATTTGTTCTGTCTAAAATTTCTTGTCTTTTTTCCAACATTTTAAACCCTAAGGGAAATGGTGGGCATTTGGTGGAAGGAGTTTTCTGGCGAAAATGACACTGTTTCAGGTCTGCTCTGTCTGGGGAAGATCTGCCAGCCAGACAGGGGACTGTGTTTCGGGTTCTTAGCTTAATGGCAGACTGCCCAAGGCCCAGGGATCATTAACTTCCAACATAATTAGCCAATCTATCAGGCAGATTACACCAAGGCTGAGTACACCCAAAGAAATCCAAGGAAGTGGTGAGGTGTGAGTGCTGAGGCTAGAGGTGTGATGTGTGAATACATATGGTCACTTGGACTCAGTAAAATATTTTTTTCTTTTTAATGAACCATTTCAGGCTTGAATGTACGTCTTCTCAAAAATAAAAAAGAAAAAAACTAGGTGTTGCTGGAAAACTTCCAAATATCTGTAACCTGGCCTCCTGCCGAAGGAGATAGACTGTACTTACTGGAAGAACCAGGACTAATTTAATGAGCAGTGGGTCTACTTCTTCAGCAATGAAGATAAAAATAAATATTGAGCAGCTGCCTACTTCACTATGCAGCAACCACAGGCTTTAATCCATTTGATAGACCATAAATCTGCACAGAAACCAAAGAACAGTGGCAGTATTTCATATTTATGAATCTATTATATTCACGTAATATAACATTACACTATTTGTCTTTAGTACATCTGCATATGTATAGATCTTTTGATATGCTATGCACATACTATATATATGCATATAATAGGCATACCAATATAGAAGCATCTCTATATCTAAATTTAATTAGTTGGCCATATTTGAAAAATGTATTACAGGCAAAAGAAAAGAGTCGGCATGTCAACAGGAGCCATGCGCAGTAAACACCACCCTCATGTACCCAAAATCCGTCTCTAAATCAGACATAATTGTGCTAAATTGCATAGAGGTAAAATATAACTATAACTATTTCATCAGAAATATGCAAATATTTAGACTTTCAGAATCACAATTTTCGATATACAGTCCCACATGACTGCATTTTGTAGTAGTGGATATATAAGGAAAAAGTACAGCAGTTAGAAAGATTGAACACATTTTTTCATATGGATCTAAGTTCATAGCCAAATCAAAGTAGGAAAGCTTTTATTCAAAGCAAAAAGTTTCACCTGTCCTTCTTCCTGCATACCTTTCAAATATTATTGTTGAAAAAAAGATTGTGCTAGAAAGTATACTATTAAAATAGCTTTCTATCTCAAGCAGCTGCGTACATTCACTGTCAGCAAGTGTGTTCGGTAAATAAGAACCTGAGCTGTCTACCAAAGGAAGATAAATCACCTTTCCCTAAAATGATACCAGCAATTAGCAGAATTTATTAGAGCTAGCATCCCTTCTCAGCCATCAGGGAAGAGTAGTGCCTTACATCATTTAAAATGCCAATGAGGATGTGAATTTTTTTCTCTCATGTAGACTTTGCAAGGGACTTCCTTGCTTTATCACCGTCAGGGTGAAGATACTTCCATGCCATTTGTTTAGGATCAAACCTGGAGCACCCACCAGAGGCTCTGCACGACACAGGTTGTAGCCGCCAGCCTCCTTGGTGAGGACGGGATGCTCAGAGCACCCAGCATCTGTGCTGAGCTCCCTGCGATTCACTTCTCCCCAGTGGTTCTCCATCAGCACCGGGAACTTCGCTTCTCCCATTTCCTTCTACAACACAAATTTGGCAGGCTACGTAAACATCTTACTTGGCCGAGTTTCTGAGATGGCTAGATTTTGGAGGGTGAACTGGAAGAAAAACAACTAGGCAAGACCGATCTGTGAATCTCTTCTTTTTTTTTTTCTTTTTCTTTTTTTTTCTTTTTTTTTTCTTTTTTTTTCCTTTTTTTTTCTTTTTTTTCCTTTTTTTTTCCCTTAAAATATCATTCCAGCTGCAGGTCATGCTTAGATGTTGCTGTGGATCACCTACCACATTTCTAGTTTTTGTAAAACAAGAGCTGTCATGGCCAGGCATGCAAGATAAATGATTACAAGTAATAGACAAATAAGTACAGCCCAGAGAGTATTCATTTTACGCTACTTCAGGCAAACCCGTATTGATTTCAAGTTTCTAGGAAAAATAACTCGCTTCCTTATTTGTCTGTAAAGTCCCCAGTACACATCGGTGCTTTTGTAGAAAATAGCTATTAATAAGAAGAGAAAATATTAATAGTAATCCTCAGGATATCTGTGAGATGAGCAGATACTTGCTTCTGGGTGACGGAAAGCAAGTGACAACTGAGGGAGTGAGCGTGGTCTACGGAGGAAGCCTCCGATGCATTTGCTGAAAAAGCTGTCTGATTCATTTTCCTTTCTTTTTATTACAATATTGTGACTAAAAATTTTGCTTATAACAACCACAAAGCTGCCAGACCGCTGCCTTACCCTTAGTGGTAAGAAATGCTCTATCCAGCCACATTATGCTCTTAAAAAAAATCAAACACTCCCTGTGTCATTTGTTTTATTTGTTTCTTCCCATGACTTTATGGAACAAACCGGTGGCTATTTTTCCATCACGCTGACTTGCACTCAGCGAACAGCTGATTACTCACTGTCATGCATGTAAATCTTTGAGGTGCAAAGAAAAGAAAATAACGTCCCTATTTACTTCTAAAGCGAAACCCCAGCACCCAGCAGAATTTCAAAACTGATTTTTCTAGGGCAATACTTCTTTCATCCTCCCAACACTAAATATTAAAGAAGAGAGATCTGTCTTAATTCAAGCTGAGCTCTGACCCTTCAAGTCTTACGATGCTGACTGTGTTTATATGAGCGCAGACTATTTTTCTCCACGCCAGTTCACATCATGCACGTTCTTCTCAAGCTCTCTTTTCAATCCTGAATGTTAATGTTCCTCCCTCGCCCGCTGGCTCGCCAGGGAATCGGGAAGCTGTGCAGTCTGGATGCTGCACAACAATTTTCATCAAAAGGCTGGTATTATTCCCATTTCACTGACAAGAGTCTGACTCGTTATATTAATCTTTTCTCCTTTTTGGCACCTAATTGGAGTCGCAGCTTGCATTTTTTTAATAACATTTAATAGGGCATATTATTTTCTATATTCAGATAACAGATCCCATTAGTTTCACCTGCATTTACTCAATACTTCTGCAGAATCTAATTTGTGCACTCAGTAGCAGAAGTAGCCTCATTAGCCTCTGAACATGTTTGAGCTACTTGCCAACACGAAATGAGGGCTCTGGGCAGGGATGTAATCCAGCCCATTGTGCAACTTCCAACCAGTTTCATCACTGCAGTAGACTTTTTTTTTTCCCTTTTCGTCACATGCCTTTCACTTCCATAAATAGCAAGGCAAAGCTGCTTGCCCACAGCCACCCACTCACCCACAGCCATGTCTCAACAGTCATCAAGAAGTGGAAATAGTAGAAACTGTAGTCAGCTGTAGCTGTGGCATTCAGGGGAAGGCAAAATTTGGAAATCCTTCTTGTTTTTAAACCACTTGAACCCAACCCGTGGACAACAGCATGTTTAACTACATAACCGTGCTTCTTTAGCTGGGCAAAATTTCTCCAGTGCACTGAGCGAGGCAGGAGCCCCACAGGAAAGAAATGGGATCCTGTAACTAAAAACAGTACCATCATGTAAATGTACAGCTGGGGTTGTAGTGGCGACCCTCTGTTTGGCATTCCCTAGCTTCCAAATGCTTAACTTTGCGCCTTCAAAGCTCTTTTAATGTTGACTCTTTTCCCTAATTTCTTTTGACTCCCACAGCAATGTGAATCCCTTTCCCAAACTAAAAACATGAACTGGGGAACCCCAGTGACCCCAATATGGTTAATCGCCCAGACCAGACCAAAGCTTAAAAACCCAAGGACAGACATTTGTCGTATGAGCCAGCATAGCGACTGTCAGCAAGGAGCAGGTGATGACTTTGTGGATGGGTCAGTCATGCGAAGAGCATGAGACATCAATGGATTTTCACAATTGTTTGCTGACAGCAGGGCAAAGATGAGACCTCAGACACAGAATTTTTAAGTCCTGTAACGGAGAGGTTTGTGGGGTACAACATCATCCCACCAGGCATCAGCCTGCGCCTGGCCTCTTCTACCTCGGGCTCCTTCAGGCTGTCTCCATTAAAGCGAGTCATTTGTTGGAGCTGACCCTCCTCCACAAGGAGTTGGCATTTTTCAACAGAAAAAATGCTGTGTAGAAAAGTTCCCAATGAACTCAATTAGCTGGAATCTTCTATGTGCTGTCAAAAACTTGTACTTCCCCTCAACATCATCTGAGCATTTTTCTGCAGTCAGAGAAGAAAAACCAGCTTGACACATGATGTGGAAACCTCCCAGCCAAATGGCTGAGGCTGAGGAGAAGCATTTTTTTGGGACCTTTTTCAAATGGAGAAAATCAGGCATTTTCTCTGCGCAACCAAGACTGTAACTCACTGGGAACAGTCTCATTAAAGAAGTGAAGGAAATTCAATCTCTCTTGGAATCGGAGCAGTCAGAAAAAACGGAGAACATGTTTTAGAAGTTGCCAACTTCGAGATTTAAACCAAACCAAACTAGAGGAGACCGCCTGATGCATGTTTTTGTGAGATAATTTTTTAGTATTGCTGAGCACACATAACTCTGAGCACAGTCAGGGGAACTGGATGTTGCAAACCGGTTCAAAACAGATTGTCCTGAATGATACAGTGTCTACTCAGGTACAAAGACCCACGCTGGTGGCCCTTCTTGCCATTGCAGCAAGGACACAGCGTGTGCTCCTCAGCCAGGGACCTAACTGCATTGCAGAGGGGTGATGCCCCTTGTTTACTGCCCAGAGCCCCATGTTTTGAGGGCTGGAGGTAAAAATGAACAGTTTCTCAGGGATCTCTGCTACAGGAGGACAAAGTAAGAGACTCCCTCCATTTTATCTTCTTTAGGTAGAGATAAGGGCACTTTGCCACTTCCAAAGCTGCTATTCCCAGGTGCTAAAGATAGCAGCAATTGCTCTCCTCCCTTCAGTCCACCTGAAAAGGGAGGAGAAGGCTGCGAGCCACATGTTACCCAAGAGCATGAAGAACAGCTACAGTGAAACCTCTTTTTTCTCCATCCCATACAAAAACACCAGCCACTTTCTGGAGAGGCAGGAGTCACCCACCTCACAGTTTCAAATGAGCAGGTCTTAGACACTGTCGGTGAGATGCTCAACTCACCCACAGCCGCATCTTCTCCCAGCAGCCATCAAGTAGTGGAAATTGCAGTCAGCTACAGCTGTGGCATTCAGGGAAAGGCAAAACTTGGATTTTTTTTTTTTTTTTTTTTTTTTAAAGTCACCTGAAGCCAATATGTGGGATATAGTAAGTTGGCAAGTTGCAAGGTACCTGGCTAGCTCTCTGTAAAACACCCAGAAGCAGTCTGCATGTCACTGGTGGAAACCAGTGGAGCCCCTTGCAGCCAGGTATTTTGCAGAAGAGGTATGTTTACAAATATAGGGGCAGGGGAGAAGAAGAGGTGGATCTTATCATTACATTTACATTAGGGAGGTAAAAAACATGCCTGGAAACTGTACCCATGCAGCTTAAAAAAATTATTATTAAAAATAAAACGTAATATTGGTCTCAAATTAGCCTGGTTGCCTACAGAAACACGATTGCAGTATGTGTCAATCTGTCTTGCCACTTGTCCTAACTATCTTTTGAACCAGCCGGCTAATACTAGCTGAAGTTGATGGAGCAACAGACATCTGAGTTTCGTGAAATTTGGTAGCTGGACTGAAGCAAGAGACACAGCCTGCGGTCTGAGCTCCCCGCGCTCTCTCCTGGCTGGCCTGGCAGCCCGACGCGGAGCTTCAACGCCTGTCACCTCCTTCGCAGGTACTGAGAAGGAAATGTCGAGGGGAGAGGAGGGTAGGAGGAATGGGGGCAAGGGAGGGATGTGTGAAAGGTCTGGAGGGATGGCTGGGCTTACTGAAGTGGGATTAAAGTGTGCAGAAACATAGAGCACAAATCCATAGGGAACCAGGCATCACCGATTCCAGCGTTCACAGAAAAAACCCTACATAACTGGCTCCAAGTGTTTTGTGTCAACCAGAAGTATCTGGAATTGCAAAGATTTATTCTTTTATGTATTCATAGATTTTAGCACTTAAAATTTCAAGGCATTGCATATCTTTGCTATGGGACTCCCTTTAACCCCTTTGCTGCTGGTCCTTCTTGCATCTTCTGTGCTGCGGCAGAACGTGACTGTTTTCCTTTGCTGTGCCGGTGCTCCATAGGTAGAAACCAGGGTATCTGTATTGGGGTTTCTGAAGCATAAAGTGGGAAAAAGCCAAAAGAAAGACTTTTTCTTGTCCTGGGAAGGCAAGAGGGGAAATAATGAGGAAAAATAAAGGTGGCGTAAGGTGATTTTCAGGATGACAGCTTAAATAAAAGAGAAAAAATGATTGAAGGAAAACCACAGGGTGAGGGGGAGATATTCCAGTGCATCAGATTGGAGATGAGTCTGTTGGTTTCTCAAGTGACATTTTTACAGAGAAGATCCCTCTTTTTAAATTCTTATAGAGTGTTAAGGCAAAACTTCTACTGGGGGATGCTTTTGAGAGACGTTAATTTTATTTAGCAATTGAATTTGCAACCGTTGCTGCACTTTCTCACAGAAGACTAGGGCAAAAGTTGTCTTCAATGTAATGACTGGGGCAATAGTCGTCTTCAATGTAATTTTCTC